TGTTTGTCCAAAGCCATTGAAGTAACCGGTGTGGTTTATGTTAGGGATTTGGTGTGTTTTGTGGCTGTTGCTCTGTATAGAAGGGTACAATGTCTTTGTGAGAATTCTGAGCCCAAAAATTGCAATAAGAATCCGTTTCTTGTTTTGTGCAATATTGTTCTGTAATCTCAATTTATTGCTTCCGTTGCTTTATTGCCTTACAAAGTGAAAGTAAATGGTCCTCAAAACAAATTAGAATTTTTACTTTTTAGTACTCAATTTCTATGACCAGGCGTAAAAAGAATTTCCATTTTAACCAACCCCCACCCAAAAAGTAAGGAGGAGGAAGGACTAATATACTGTGGTTTTGAAGTTATCGAGTTAAATCCCATGCATTTACAAATCATTGTGATATCTTGTTCGACCATCTTCTCATTACGAGGAAATATATTTTACATTCTTCCCATTTTCTAATTCCAAAAATTATTCCACAAACTCAGCAAATGCAAATAGGATTAGCTCTTTGTAAGATCCAGCACTTATATTGATGACCTGTGGAGGGACCACAAGCTATGATAGCATTGAATGATGAAAAAGGCAAAGGTTTAGCTCGAGTGGTAAGAGCGAAACCTTACAGGCTAATGACCTGGGGTTTATGGGTTTAAGTCTCGAGGGTGAAATCCTATGATCTCCTTTAGAAACAAAAAATAAAATACATTGAAGGATGAAAACCAGCTTCTTCCACTCTCTAATGTTGTTTACATATCTGCCATTAAAATAGAAAGCATTGCTATGTTATAAACTAAACCATTATAAATTCTTCCCAAACGGAGGCTCAGATGCATATTTCCACTCTTTTCAGTTCTCATTGTCTAGTTTAGTTCACTGTTTCTGGTGTACACTATATTGTGAGTCGTCTCCTTGCAACATAATTGTATAACAGAGTAATATGGCACGAAAAAGGCTGGTGATGCTTAAAATAATGAAAAATCACCAAGTTATTCAACCCTTAATTTCATGCAAAACTATATTCTATTCTTCCATCTGTGTGCAAATATCTATATCAACGGTTGCACATGTGTCCTTGTTCTTGGGTGTATGTCAGTCAAGTAGAAGAAAAAAGGACAAATCTGAAAGCTGGCATCAAAATTGATCTACCATCTTAAAACAATGGAAAAGAGAGGGGAAAAAAAGACACCTACACATTATATATCCAGAGTTAATTAATTCAAAGTTTTAAACAAGCATGATAATCTGTATACGAAAGATGAAGGCAGTCAGAGGTCAGTTCGCCACCGATGTTACATTATTTTTTTGAACCAAAATAATTGCTAATGCGCATGCAAGCTGTTGATGTAGAAATTGAAATTAAAATCACCTGTCTCAACTAAGGGTCTGATCCTGTAGCTGCTATACTTTATCAAAGAAGTTCATTGTGGAAATACAAGAAGCCAACTAGAAATCCAACAACAGTCAAACTGTGAAGAATGGCTCTTGAATGCTGATTTCAGTTCAGATTTTAGCTTTCCTCAAACATCGTATGTTAGGCGATTGTGAATAATTAATCCAATTACTATTTCGATTGTATTTGCAAACGGATTGTTTTGTTGCTCCAATGCCAAAGCTTCCTTTCTCAGCCTTAAACGGTAAAATTTTAAGTTCCGTCGGAA